TCATGTAGAAATCTGAAATTTAACTCATTAGTCTATTTGCATAATTATGGAAAATAAGTAGTTGAATTTAACTTAAATTGTTATTATTACGAAGTGTGAAGGGAAATAAGGTGTGAGTGACTATCGGGTTGCTTTGGAGGTTGCTTTTCTTTTGGAGGTGAGTTCCTCACTACACTATGTTGTGTTATATCTTCTTTACTTTAGCTCGTGTGTGATATGTGTTGTATTCTTTATGTGGGTATTACTAGGTGGGGTAAAGTCTAGTGGATTTCCTCACGTATTGAGGATTATTCATAGTAGGACTCACTACATCCGAGTGGGGATCGATCATAGCCAATGTGTCCCAAAGGCTCGATGAACTGAGAAAGGGGGATCGGGCATGACCAATGTGTCCCAATAGGTTCGGGTACGGGGGATCGGTCTTAGCCAATATGTCCCACAAGATCGATGTACTAAGCAAGGGGTATCGGGTCTAGCTAATGTGTCCTAGTAGGAGTATGTCTGTTATTTATTCGCTCTTTGACATGCATGTGTGGTTATGTATTTGATATCGTTTGTATCTGTGTATAAGGGTAAAGATTATATGATATGATATTGTGTATGTGTGGAATTCACTATGCCTTATGCTTACCATTTCCCTTCAAAATACTATTTCAGGTACACAGGATTGTCGGGCATGATTGTACACACCGACTCGAGGCGAGATATTGAATTTTTGATATTAGATTGAATGTGTTTTTCATAAATTTTAGAATTATAAATGATAATGGTTTTGGTAATTGAATTGATCTTGAGTTCTGATTTTAAATTTATTTTGAATAAGAGATATTAAATGCATGATTTATGTTATTTAAAAAGTTCAATCTATTTTGGAAATTTTGGGATGTTACGGATAATAATGATATTCTTTCTATTGTCGAGGAGTTTTCTGATGCAGATCTTGATTTTGATCCATCTTATCCTCCAATGGAAAAGTAGACTCATGATCATCCTAAAGAACAAATTCTTGGTAATCATATTGGTGTGTTAACAAGAGCACATGTTAGAGTTAGAAATGAAGTTCTTAATTTTCATCAAGAGTTTTGTATGTTTAATGTTATTATTTCTAAAATAAAGTTGATAAAGAAGGGAATGTTTTCTGCAATAAGGCAAGAATTGTTGTTAAAGGTTATTGTGAACAAGAATGTATTGATTATGATGAAACATTTGCTCCTGTCACAAGACTTGTTGTTAAAGGTTATTGTGAACAAATGAATGTTAAATGTGCATTTCTCAATGGTTTACTCGAAGAGACTGTCTATGTTGAACAACCACCAGGCTTTGTAAATGATACATTTACTAATCATTGCTATATTCTCGATAAGGTTGTTTATGGTTTAAAACAAGCACCAAGGGCTTGGTATGCAACGTTAACTAATTTTTTGAAAATCTCAAAATACAAGCAAGGATCAATTGATCCCATATTATTTAGAAAGAAAGTCTGGAATCATCTTATGCTTGTTCAAATTTATTTAGATGATATAATTTTTGTTTCTACTGACCATGCTTTATCTAAGGAATTTGAGGATTTGATGTGCATTCAGTTTGAGATGAGCATGATGGGAAAAATAAACCACTTCTTGGGGTTGAACATCGCCAAAGAAAAGAAGGCATTTTTATCAATCAAGAGTCCCACATGAAGAATTTTCTTGAATGATTTGGCATGACCAACAGCTTAGATGCGAAGGTTCCTATGGCATATGGCACGTACTTGAGTCCATCGTTGGATAAACTTGCTGTTGATTTGAAGACATATCGAAGCATGATAGGTTCTTTGTTATACCTGACAACAAGTCGACCTGATATCATGTTTTATGTGTGTAATTGTGCTAGGTATCAAGAAAACCCAAGAGACCCACATCTTACTACTATAAAGAATATCTTTCGATATCTACATCGAAATCCTACACTTTGAAATTGGTATCCTGCAAATACAAGATTTTTCATTCAAGCCTATTCAGATGTTGATTTGGGAGGTTTTCAACTTGATAGAAAATGTACAACTAAAGGTTTTTAATTTCTTGATGGGAAATTTGTGAGTTGGCAGTCGAAGAAAGAAACAAGTGTATCAATATCCACAACAGAGGCTGAGTATGTTGTTGTTGTTGCATGCACTTCACAAGTGATATGGATACAAAGTCAACTACGTGACTATGCGATCAACATGAAGAAAGTTACTTTGTTTTGTGACATTCAAAGTGCTATTTGCATATTTCATAACCCATTTCAACATTCTAAGACAAATGATATTGCACTTCGATACCATTTCATCAAAGATCATGTTGAAGATGGCAATATCGAAGTTCATTTTGTTAATACCACAAATCAAATTGCTGATATTTTTACCAACCCTCTTGATGGAAAATCATTTCTAAGAATATTAAATGGGTTGGGAATGACGGAAGCTTGATATGTACCAAAATCAAGCTAAAACTTATGATCTTGATATTGATGTTGCTGTTTCTTAATGCAGATTTTGATATATACGCAACTTCACAAGTGTCACTGAATTGTTCAAAAGTTATTGTTCATGTTCAAAGCTTCACAAAACTTCACTTTCGCAACATCCGTTAAATCATTCAGAGATGTTGGTTTACTATCGAATTTATGGTACAATTTTTGATTTTCTTTATTTTCCAACTTTTTTTTCAAATTCAAAAACTCCAAAAAAATTTACTTTATTTTTCAATCTTACCAAAAAGATTTTAGTTATTTTTTGTCTTTTCTTTAAAAAATTAAAAACCTCAAAAATATTTTTATTTTGTTGTGTGGAATAGTTATTCCATGTTTGAAATTACTGAATTTACGGAATCATTAACCATGATTTTTGTTTAACCCTTGACATTCCATGAAAGAACCAACTTGGAATTATGGTTATTCAAAAATTGTCTTGATGAACATACTTATTGTCGCCATAAGTTTGTGAAAGATTCGTTTTCCATCTTCTTATGTCATATTTCTTTCACTTCACACACACTATGACGCATATCCCAAGACGTCTCTAGTCAGAAACAACTAGAATGTAGGTTTGCCAAAACTCCATGTTTATGATCTTAATCATTATAACCATGATGAACGTGAAACCCACAAACCAACACACTTTATGAAAATGACGGTGAACAATTTATTGTTCTAGACTTTTACAAAGGAACTGACGGATGAAACTTTAATGTTTCAATGTACCATTCACATAATGTTCAAAATCTCATTTTCATTCTTTTGAGTGATCTTAGTAAAATTGACTAATACCATGTCATTTCTAGCCAACTATATCCACTTCTTTGTTTTCATGAAGTGAGATCTCCATTTGAATTTTTTTTCTTTAACCTTTGTTATTTTCAAATCTTACCAGTGTTTACTTGATGTTGATTACACTGATCACTCAAGAATATTCTCACATTGTTTTGCTCTTATGTTAAGTTGCGAAAATGTTTGAAAGTAAAGCCTACCTTCGATACTGACTAGAAGAGACCATTCGATACGTTTATATAAGTATTTTATTGTACTTCATGAGAGACCACACAAGAACTATCACATCTCTCTTGATGTTATAGGAGGAGAATCTTTGCTCGGGATCTTACTACCTTTATATAAAAGTATCTTTGATATCACAACTTATCCAAAGTTTTCTTATATTTGATTCTATCTTTTTCTTTGGATACACATTGGCAATAAAATCCTCGAGGTTTTGGGTACTACCAACCTAGACCAAGATTTCACAAAGTTTGGTTTATGATTTCACTTACAATACCTATAAGTGGATGAGACCCAACCTTAGCCTTGGTTATTATCTAAGTTGGTTACATGTTTGATACTAATGTTGGAAGCTCGCAATTTGAAAGATATATGAAGTTATCGTTGACGTAGTAGGTGGCTGACGACTGTTTCTTTCTCTTTGATCGAGGTAAACACTCATGACTTTTACACGTGGCAGATTGTGATGATGTCTCTTTAGTTTTGACCTTTCCACATGGCATAACCTAATTAATGGAAGTTTTAAATTCAATTTTGATGCCATTTATAAAAGGGGTTTTGATGGTTCCTTATCAGTTATTCTGATCTTCGTCTTTCTCTCAAGAACCCTAACCCTAAATCGATCAGTTTCTCTACGAAAGTCTTACCTTGAATCATCATGTCTAACATAGACAAGTTTAGTACTGAGTTCTATTCCGCATATGAAGATCTAATCGAATAACGCATGGTTTAATCCATTTATTAGTGCTTATCTGGAAGAACTACAGATGATTGTTGAATGTTTCCATTCATTTGCTCTACGTCACACATTAATAGCTTCTTTTACGATTCCAATGAAGTGGTTATCCTTGGCTTGTTCTACTACTGTTTACATCAAGGATTATAAATTCATTACGTTTCATATGGAAACGAAAGGCAATAGGAATCTCACAAAGAAACAACTTACACAGATTCTCTAGCTTAAATATGATGGCCCGTTTGAAACTAAGAACGCGTGATCAAGTTCTTTCATTTTTTAATAAAAAAAGTGTATAATCCTTCGATTACACTTATCGGTGCTTTTCGAAAGTCTAATTTATCATCATTATGGTGTTTCTTCTTTGGAGTGTTTATTCGCTGTCTAACTAGATGAAATTTTGGGTTTGATAGAGCAAAACTTCAGTTTTATTCTCTTCTAGAAGGCTTGTACTATCATATGAAAGTGATTTATGCTTCTATGATATGGGATGAATTTACTTCATATGTCAATCACTCAAAAAAAATACTGAGATCGCAAGTACTAGATTTTGAAGTTTGATACTTATCGAAGCTTATCAACAAGATGGGATTCAGGTTCTAGAAGGAGAGGAAGTTTTTGTGTTTTCTAATCTTCAAATTCCAAAAGCTTGTCTGATGATCCTGATGTGTTTCCTATTATTGGAAGGATACTAGATGCGATTCTCGAGTTGGTACCACTATCGAATCCTGTTTTGGTTCGATATCGTGAAATGCTTGGTGAACTTCCAAGGGTACCTACACCCAAGAAGACAAAGTCCAAATCGAAGGGAAGTGTTGTGATTATAGAACCCTCTGGTGATGAGCAACAACAGAAAAGGAGAAAGGTTGTGGGATTGTTAAAGATCTTGACTGGCAAGAAGCAAATTAATAAACCAATCAAGAAGAAGAAGAAGACAATTGAAGTTACTATTCTTGGTACTAATAATGATTATAAAGCTATTGAAACAAAAGATATTGATTTGTCGAAGGGACAATCTATGATATATCATAATGAAGCAAATACAGATGATGCAGATCATATGATCAATGATGCATTTGTTAATGATACTCTACCTGTTTCACCACAAAAGGTTGCCACAGTTGAATCTAATACAAACGAGATACGCAATCCAGATGTCACTGTGAACACATCTAATGTGGACACAAACATCACAAATGCTAAAACACGTTTGCAGTCTCTTGCTTAATCTACAACAAATGTTACACCACCTGAATTTCCTATTACTAAGTGTCACAACTAGGAATTTTGATGCTTTGTAACAACAACAATGATAACATTTGTGAACCAAAAATGTGAAAGCATGTATGATGCTTATTCAATAACAACAAACTTCCATCAAACACTTTATACAAGCACTGCAAATAGTCAACAAAGAATTGGAAACCCTAGAAATCCCGGTTAAGTCCATTTTTAGATTAGGATTTTCTTATTGGGCCTAACGGACCAATAAGCTTCCAATTTGACTATTTTGGGCTTAGAACTTCTATATGGACTCTAATTGGACCCACTCTCATTTATTTTAACATTTTGAGCCATAATGGGCCTAGAATGAAATAAAATACCCTAATGGGCCATAACAAATCTAATTAACTTAAAAAGGCCATAAAAACTCATTCTTGACTTATTTTGGGACATGAACCCTCTCCAAAGACCAATTGGACCAAAAATCATCCAATTGGGCCAAAAATATGGACTTAAGCACAAGAAGGCCCAATTTCTTTTCTTCCTTCTCCTTCTCTCGGCCCAACTACACAAATGGGGGCAAAAAGAGTTGACTTTCCTACATGTCACCTCACAATTACACAAAGGATATCCATGCAACATCTCATACTCCCAAGCACCTATCACTTCACACTCTCTCTTCTCCTCTCTCTTTTCTTCTTCGGCCGAGAACACAAAGGGAAAGACACACACACACAATTCACTCAAACACTCTCAAAGAACACTCTTACTTCTTCTTCAAAAATTTCGAGATTTAAGAGCTTTCAAGTAGGATTCTCCCTAAGATTCATAATCTAAGGTAAGTTGATGCTTAAATCCATGATCTAACTACTTCATTTCATCAAAAATCTCCTCCTAATCTATTCAAACTCGTGATCTTGCATCTTAGAACACATCTAAGCCAAAGATCCTCCAAGAAGCTTGCTAGGCCGAGAATAGCATCAAACTTCTTCCATTCTTCTTCAAAACCGAACCCACAAATTAAGGTCGTTAATCAATAGTAATAAATGTTGTTTGGATTAAGTGAGTAATAACGGGCGACACCTCTAAGGGTCGTTCGTAGTCTGTAGTTATAATCAAAGTCTCCTGGAAGGAGAGCGAGAGTTTGTGTATAGATCTATACGGGGGTGACTCCCCCACACCTCAGCTGTTCGCTACAGTTAGACTCGGCCAGTCTAGGGTGACAAAATCTTAAGATCAATCCCGGCGCACGATAGGTTTCCAAGACAGACGGACTAGTCATTATTATGCATGGTTATAACGACTCACAAAAATTAATTAATCCAATACCATCCGAGTAATCAAGGAAGAGTAATCAAAATCATTCGTTGTGGCGGTATAGCAATTTGAGAAACAACTGTATTTTATGTATTCGGAAAACATCGGGTTTTTCGAGGAAATCAACATCACTCGCTTGTATTTTTCTATAACTATAATACAAAACTCCCTTTTTATACACGTTTTGAAATCATTCATGCATCAACTTATGGATCTTCACACTTTGGTAAACTATTGTCTTTTCAGAAAATATCGGATTTTCTGGGTTTTACAAACTACACAAATCATTTTTATCACAACCCTGCTTATGAACTCACCAACATTTCATATGTTGACGTTTTTTCAAAATAACTTGTATTCTCAGGTAACAGGTAAGCTAAAGGGTAATATCAAGTACGATAGGATGTTATGTTTTGAAAACTCTCAAACAATTTATGTTATGAATGTGTAATATTTAAAACAATGTACTGGATGTGAACAATATCAGTTGTAATGTATTGATGCATGGTGATGTTTATGTTATGATTCATGTATATTCATTGTGATGATATTCAGTTTAAGTCACGCGAGCCCTCGGACGTTTTCGCCGTCTGGTTTCGGGGGTGTGACAGGTTGGTATCAGAGCTCTGTTTATAGTGAACTAGCATATCTAACCCCACATTGATATGCAACTATAAACCATAGAGGGACAAAAACAACTCTGAACAAAACAAATAAAACACAACGATAAAACACCCCCCTACTTGTACAATATAGGAAAATAACATAATACCAAATCAAATAAGATAATACTGACATCTTGGTTAAGTCGGGATTGTTCTTAGTTGTATTAAGGGAGTGGATGTAGCCTGATCAACTACATTTTCTCCGAAGTACAACTATTACATGCTCCGGGAAAACCTCGATGGTCGGTAAACCTAACAACATACCCCTTTGTTACCAAGAAAAGAACATCAACTCAAATTGCATAATAACTAAAACATATTAGTAGTAATAATAGTTTACTCATACACCTCCTCTCAGTCACCATGGAAGGAGAACACCAGGGCATTCAGTTTCATCAGGTCTTAGTGGCCCACGGGATGATCGAGGATGAGCCTGAGGGAGATCAGGGAGGGGCACACGGCGTGGGTCTCGATGAGTACACAGACACAGAACTACGAGTTTGATGGTATCGACGATGACATGGATGAAGAGCATGACTCAGGCAAGGATTCTGCCACATCACCTACCAGCGAGATGCAGCAGGACCACCCCGCCCCACCAGGGAAACCCGCGAGGGAGAATCGCTCTCCGGAAGCTGAGATTGCTGCTCTGCGGCAACAGCTATTCGCCATGGAAGCACGAGCGGTGCAAGCTGGACAGGAAAGAGATGAAGTCATTGGAGAAATGACTGAGATGGCCCAGTTGTTGGCACTACACTTCGGTATATGACCTCACTACCGCCGTCGAGAGCTCCTTAGAGTGTTAGGACTAGTCATATCTATCCTTAGTATTATGCATATATGATCTATGCTATGTACCATCGACTCTATGTTTAAATGATTACACTACTCATAGAGTCGTTACGCTGCCGAACTTGCACCACTTGTGTATGCTCTTTCGAGCAAATTTTCATGTAACAAAGTGCGGATAATATTAATGGAAAATTTTTATGTGTTCTATTGTGATGTTGTTATCTGTTATGTGTTATGTATCCATGATTGTATGATAACATGCGGAACCACTTAAGTATACACCATACACCTAGTTTATAGGACCACAATCTCACAAAAATCATAGGCGCTCAACATCTTTCCGTTCAATGACAGAAAGATGCCCCAACGACCAACCCATGGAAACCCTGGACCAAAACCACACCCGAAGTCAACTCAGCTGCATTCCAAGCAGCTGTATCTGCTGCGGTTACTGCAGCCATGGCGCAAATCCACCAAGGGAACAATGATGGAGTCAATGGACAAGGAGCTGGAAGTTCGAAGAACGGAATAAATCAAGGACCTACCAAGACATGCTCCTACAAGGACTTCACCAACGCCAAGCCACGAACCTTTAATGGCTCGGGTGGAATGATAACCCTAAAGAGATGAATGGAAAAGGTGGAATCAGTATTTGAGATATGTGAATGCCCCGAAGAGGTGAAAGTGAAGTTCGGCGCATGCACATTCGTTGACCAAGCTCTCACTTGGTGGAATGGACATGTAGAGGCCATGACTCTCCCCATAGCCAACGCTATGTCGTGGGCGGAGTTGAAAGAAATGTTGATGGCTGAGTACTGCCCGCGAGGCGAAATTCAGAAAATGGAGCAAGAGCTGTGGAATCTCACCGTCCGAAATTCTGATATAGATGCATACATATCAAGGTTTAGCGAACTGTCACTGTTGTGCCCTGGCATGATCACTTCAGAGGGAATGAAAATCGAACGATTCATCTGGGGATTAACCTCCCCAATCCAAGGAAATGTAATAGCTGCAAATCCTAAAACATTCGACAGTGCCAAGAGGTTGGCTAAGAAACTGTACGACCACAACAACAAGAAGGGAGAGAAGCCAGTGGAAACTGAAGGCAAGAAAGGAGAACGACAACAAGAATGGAAAGAGCAACAAGAGAAAAGGGCGACAAGGCTCAGAGTCATCAAAGAAACAACAAACAGTGACAGCCAATGCTGCAACCACCCAAGTACCCTCCACACCACATGCTCCAGCTTTAGCTAATCCAAGTTCCCCTAGGCAGTATTCTGGGAATCTCCCGAAGTGCAACAAGTGCAGCCTCCATCATAATGGTGAATGCAGGGAGATGCATTGTACCAGTTGCAATCGGAAGGGTCACACGGCAAGGTATTGCAGGACCGATCCTCCCCAAAGCCAACAACAAGGAAACAATAACAACAACAACCGCAACAACAGCAACACCAACAACAGCGGCAATAATGCAGGATCAAGCCCCACATGCTATGGATGTGGAAAGACTGGGCATATCCGTCGAAACTGCCCCAACATCAACAACCCTGGGAACGAAGGAAGAGGAAGGGTGCTAGCTATGGGTCAGGGAGAAGCGGTTCAGGATCCCGCTGTTGTTACCGGTACGTTTCTACTAAACCACACTTTGGCATGCATCCTATTTGATACTGGGGCAGAACGAAGTTTTGTGAGTAATAAATTCAAACACTTGTTAAAACAACAACCCCAGAAGCTTAATGAAACCTTTACGGTGGAAATGGCTAATGGGAAAACAGAATCCACTGGGGAAATCTACATCGGATGTACCCTGACCTTAAATCATCATGTCTTTCAAATAAACTTAATGCCTATTTCCATTAGGAGTTTTGATGTGATTATCGGCATGGATTGTTTAAGACCCCACCATGCTGAAATTATGTGTCACGAGAAGGCCGTTCGCTTTCGCCTCCCAAATCACGAAACCCTAATTATATACGAAAGAAGGACTTGACGTTTCTAGCTCATATAGTGGATAAGTCCAAAGAAGAGATCAATATTCGAAACATCCCTGTGGCGTGCGATTTCCCGGATGTCTTTCCGGAGGATCTTCCAGGGATACCCCCAGAAAGACAAGTCGAGTTCCGAATCGATCTAGTGCCAGGAGCTACTCCCATCGCCAAATCGCCCTACAGATTGGCTCCTGCGGAGATGCAAGAGTTGTCCAGTCAACTCAGCGAGCTTTTGGACAAAG